GGGGGGGGGGGGGGGGGGGGAAATCATCTAGAGCTAGCACTGACCACTCTAGTACAGGCTGAAGAACCATTTCCATGAGAGTAAGAAAGGAGTAGATGATCCAATAAGCCAACCACTGCTCATCGTCCAATTTGGATGTGCTTTCGATGGCTACCACCGACGCATAACTGTTGTTTTGCGAACGATTCAAATCAAATCGAGACAACATATAAACACAGCATCACACGGAGAAAGAGAGAGAGAGAGAGAGAGAGATGAACTTACAGTGGATACAGCAACATCAAAACCGGCCTGCGGGAATCATCAACAGCGAAAATTACAAACTAATTAGCCCTAAGATACAAAACCAACATCCAAGTTAGGAAGGCGTTCCGTTTATACTCACCCAGAAAGAATATGAAGTTGGGTGACCAACGTCCAAAATCTACTCATTTTCTACACGAAATCGGGGGCTGTTTTCTCTGTTCGGGAAGAAATAGAGGAGGAGGAGGCGGAAAACTACAAGAACGAACTCCGGAAATGGGAATTGTAGTGGTGATTGGGCAAGAGGAAGAGGAAAGATTTTTATAAGACCTGAAAAGGACTAACACGTGGCAGCAATAGAGACAGCATCTAATTCTTCCTTCAAGGCGTGCCTGTTAATTTAGCACCGCCCTTCCATTATTAATACGCCCAAGCCTCTCTCTCTCGCCCATTAATCAATGAGATTATTAACCTAAAACATCAATTAGCATAACTTATTCATATTAATGGCCTGAGCTGCCTTCCCCGTGTTTAACGCCACTGCCACGTGCTCCTCCTTTTCATGAGTGTCGTAACACCTTTTGACCCAACCCAACCCGGTGGTTCGCTCGTCATCCAATAAATTTATATTTACTCAAATATCTCTCCTATTCTAGAGGCTTCCACTACTTTCTTTTCCATCCTCCTATTTTAATTTCTTTTCTTTATTTTAAAAAAAAATGTAAACCAATTTAATTTTATGGCTTGGGTTGTGTGTGAATTAAAAACCTTAATTTGGAGAAGTTATTTGAAGGGGAGGATTAATGTATTATAAATGTATAATTGGGTGGAGGGTTAGGATTCATGACATTAACTATCTTATACCAACCATCCTAAATAATATATACGATACGATAATGTTTTTATAACATCCATCCCTTATACATTCATTCCATCCAACAAAATTCTATACCCTACATCACCGAACAGGCAGCATTTGGGTTTTCATCGCTGAACATCTGAGGTGGATACTCGTACCCTATCACCCGCGCCGGACAAGCGTCCACCGCTATGTGCGCCGCCGGGTACCCTATGCCGTCCATAATCGGCGCCGGATACGGATACATTTCCATGATATACCTTTGCGGGTAATAATGATGTTCATTCTTCTTCACTTCCACAACCTTTGGGTCTTCTTCTGCAGCCGTCGTCCCATCGCCAGCATCGCCGCCCCCGGGTATCTCTTCCACTTTACTTTCTTCCTCCACCTTCTTCTCACACTCGGCACCCTCGCCGTCACCGTCACCGGCGTTGGCTTTCTTCTCTTCTTTCACTTCTTTTGCACCATCGTCCGAATTATTCTCCGGCGCAATTTCCGGCTCTTGCTTCACAATCGCCGCGTGTTTTCCGGTTCGGCGGTGAACATATTCAACCAGCGCCGCCGGATCGATCGCTCCTTTCACCGTGACCTGCGAGCTTTTTAGATCTGGGTCCACCGATTCAACACCTGACCCATTGATTTCCAACCACAGACTTCAGAATTAAAAATGAAAACACTCGGGAACTAGTAGTGGAAAATTAGTCAAAGAATCAACTTTTAAAAAGTTATTCATATATACAACAGAAGATCCATGCCCATCTCATCTAATATCCAAATCAGATCGACTTTGAATATTCAATTTCCAAAGCCATAAAAACGAAAAAAAACGTGAAAGAAGTAACCAAAATTGAACCTTTCATTCTGTGTATCCGTCTTCTGATTTCTTGAGCGCAAGCCTCGCAGTGCATGTGCACTTTCAACACAACCGTTACAATCTGAGGCTGCGAATTAAAAAGTATGAAATGAAATGAAATCCAAAAGGGAAGAACACAAGAGACGCAATTAATGTAAGTGTAGAATAAAACCTCTGGTTTGTTGTCCTCTGTTTTGGGCTTCTCTTCGGGTGGGGGGTTCGCAGCAGGGAGCTCGGGGACAGGGGAGATCAATTCGACCCGTCTGTGGCTTTTCCTCTGTAGCCTCCCTAAAACCTTGAGCGGATCGGCCTTCTCTCCTTTCACCACCACTTTGTGAGTTCTGCAATCTGTCTCCACGCTTTCAACCCCTACAAGTAAGGAAAAGAAAACCTCAATTACTCCTCTGTTTCTGTACAGACTTGGGTAAGTGAAGAAAAGGAAAAGAAAAATATGTAACCTTCGAAGCCTTTGAGGCAGCGGCGGACCTTGCGTGCACAGCCTTCGCAATGCATAAAAACAGTGAGGACAATGTCCTGAGGGGGTCGAGGAAGAGGCTGCTCTTTGATGCCATCTTTTGGTTCTTCCGCTGGTGTCTTCTCCGGTGGCGGTGGGTTCTCGCTCTGGGGTTCTTCATTCTCTCGATCGGGAGCCGCATTCGGAGGTTCCTCTGGTTTTGAATCCACCGGTTTATTGTCCTCCTAATCAACAAATCCAGACACTAACAGAGTAAAGAACACAAAGCAAACGCAAAAAACAGAACAGAAACAGAGTGGGGTCAATTACAGACCTCCCCCATTGGAATGGATGGAGCTGGAGTTAGAGAAGAGTGGGAAGTAGTGGAAGCTTAGAGATGAGAGTGGGTTTTTATAATCATCGTCACCATCCTCCTGGAGTGACGTGGGTTTTTATAAAGGCCACGTTCAGCTCCAGCGTCGCGAACTTGGATCCATGAGCAGGGTTTGGTTGGACATTTCACCAACTTAGCCCAGCCGTACATAAAAGATGTAACAGAATAGAAATCCATGGTTAATTCAAAAGTACTATGCTACGAACACAGGAAAAGTAGAGGGCCCACACAGGCGTCGGTTGGAGAGTTTTAAAATTATGATGATTCATTGTCCAGTCAGCATCTGAATTAATTAAGCCTTTCAAAATTGAAGAGTTTTAAAGCCTTGTAAAGAGAGGAACCGGAAATGTAAAAAACACATTTATTGGCGTAATAAAGAATTGAGGGTTCCTCCCAGCTGCTCATCATTGCGTCATCTCTCCACCATTATTTCTTCTCCAAGCTTGTTACTCCTCGCTCAATTCCCTTCCCACGTGGGACCGCCTTCGTCCATTTTACCTTTATATTATTAATCACACATGCTGAAACAAAATTAAAATTCTGACTCCTAAATTAAATATCCGCCTTTCATTTCCCTTTCTTAATTATTACTTTCCGGCTCCTATTTAACATACCATTCAATTCCTTTTTATTATTATTATTTTTTTTTTATTTTGTTCACATTTCAACCAATAAATTAAATATAATCTCCCTCCCCACCGTGTTAATGTTACACTATTTCCTCAAATTTTAATTACAACCATTAAAAGTAAACTTTAAATTTTGGCTTTCCAAACTCATACCATACACTTGGGAAGAAGAAGAAGCTCAATAGTTGATGTAATTAATAACTTCGAATAACTTAAATCATACTCGATCTAACCATAATTACCAACACAAAAGTGGTTCGAAGTTCAATTATATTTAACATTTGAACATGATTGTGAATTGAGCATAAGAAAGTGGGTTTATGAAAATAAAAAGGTTGGTTTAAATTATGTATTATAGATTAAGATGTGATGTGACCCACGGGACAAGATGGGAAATAAAACTTGGTGGATTAATGAATGAATGAATGAATTAATTAAATTTGAGGGTTCCAAAATGTGTAGATTTTGCACTTATTTAAGAGGAAGGAAGGAGACAAATGCAACTAACATCTGTTTGGCTGATTAAGATGCACCAACTAAAGCCACCTTTCTATCACCTCACAAAATCTCTTCAATTCTTTTTTATTTATCTATTTATCTCGTAAAATCAAACAAGGATTTCCCTTCATTTTGTTTGTTTTTGTTTGTAGAGTGAGTTAGAAAAATGGTTAGATTGATATATATTTTTCTTTTAATTAATTATGGGTGAGTTTAAATATTCAAAACTCTTAGCGACACAAATACAATCTAGTTAGGAATTGGGTGAGTAGAAATCCAACAAACTCATGATCCAAAAAGGGAATACGAGAGTCACGAGGCGAGCCAAGGACGGAGAAAAGTACCCAAAGGGCTAATGAAACTGCAAACAAGCTATGTGATCCAACAAAGGAGGTAGTGAGTGTTTGTAATTGAATCCCCCATGGGTTTACAGACAATGTTATTTCCCATTGTGAGGCATGAAAGATAAAGTTCATAAAAGGGGACGCCTAAGAGATCACCAAGTCGGCAAGCTTTCCCTAAAATGGGAAAGATAAAACCTTCAAACAGGATGCTTTAATTAGGACCACCCCTCCAAGGTCTTCCTTTTAAAAATATCACTTTAAATGAATACCTCCTCTTTACACGCAGACAGCCATAGTGGCTATCAAGTTTACACATCAGCCTACCATTTCTAGTTTCTTTATGCATGTGGGACCCACCGCATTAATACTCGCCATGTGGCACCTTCTGATTCGCTTTAAGTACGGGTGACGCTTCTGATTATTGTTGTTATTATTATAAGATAATACGTAATTGATATAACGCCACGTCACGTCCCAAGCCAAAAGAAGGCCCACGTGGAATTCTATTTCCCTTCCCAAAGAGGTCCAAGTTGTTGGCCCATGGGCCCTTTCCGAAAAGGATCAAATTAGATACGGTAATCGTTTAAATTTATTTCAAGATTCCGTGTGTGTGTATATATATATATTTTTTGTTCTTGACGAATCCAAAAGAAACGGGGCTACTTATATTATATCATACTGTAGAAAGTCGAAAGTGGTATAATTTAAGTTAAACAAAACAGTAACTAAAGTAAGCAGAGCAGAGTGCCTTACACTTAGAATTCAAGTTGGAACCAAGAGAAATGGTAATCGTTCCTCCTCGTCTGCTCCGAACTCTAAACAGCGAGCTGAAAATATTAGCATAACAACCGAAGCAATGGCAAGGCAAGCTAAACCCACTTCCCACTTTCCTATTCTGCACCTGTTCCCAATTTCTCTCTTCCCCCCAACGCTCGCCCTCACATTTTCTTCTTCTTTCACTTGCGGAGGAGCATATGATCCTGAAGAAGAAGAGGAGGAGGCAGAGGAATAAGAGAGACCGTTTAAGCAGACGGGAACTTCTTCTTCTTCTTCTTCTTTGCCCGTTTCTCTGTTACGGTTATCTTGGCTCGAATCGGATGATTGAACCGATGGAGCGACGATCTGATCCTGAACAAAACCATTCCAGTAATTCCCGTGCAAGAACTCGGTATTTAGGCCATGACCCATGTCGACATCGTCGAAAGAAAGCCGTCGGCCCTTGAACTTGCCGACACCCATGGCGGCTCTTCGTTCTCTTAGAATCTCATCTTGAGCCAATTCGTTGGTTCGAATCTTCCAGGTGGATGAAGCGGAGAATGTGGCGGTTCCGTGGCGGTGGAGCGAGGAGATGAGGTCGTGTTCTGGGGGCGCATCGTCATCGTTGGGGAGAGGGCGCATTTTAAATTGGAAGAACTGCTGATGAATGCGGATTTGGAGAAGAAATAATGTGTGGGGAATTGGAAGTGGGATTGATTGGAAACTGCCCACGATCAACTCCCCATGCTTTTAAATTGTGTTGGTGGTTTGAATTTTCATTTTGAGTGGCCGTTGGGATTTCACCACCACCTATTTACACCTTTTCCTCGTTCCCAGTTGAATTATAGAGCACCAACTTTTCATTCATTATGTTTGAAGGTGATCTGGAGCCTCCGCTTGCTGGTGCAAGTTGATCTTGGCATGTTTGTTTTTATGTAATTAGTAAATGGTCAATGAAAAGGAAGGCCGATTGGGTATCAAAATGAAAGAATTGTGCGTCCTATTTATTCCACTCTCAACCAATAGGATGTGATATTACAAAACCCAAATTAAAACATTCCAATTTAATAAAATAGATTGTGATTAAAAGCAAATAATACAAATTTGGCAAACCATCATTAATTATTCCTTCTTTTCTTATAGAACTTTGGGGGACAAACTGATTGCAATATTCCCCTCCGCTACTCTTTTTCTCTACTTTTTTCAATTTCCTTTTTGTTTAATTATTTCAAGAAAGAAAAAAGAAATATAATAATAAACAATTTATTGGGCTCGGCTCAAGCCCATTCACAATTGCCTTGCAATTATTTAGTTTCAAAAAATGAAATATTTATTTACTAGACTTGGTTTTAAAAAATAATTAAAGCAATTTTATACTTTTTCCACCAAAACCCTATAATAGTGATTAAAATATGTTTATACTTAATTATTAAGAGAGCACGAGTAGGCATTCAAAAAATGAACACAGCAGAGAATGAAGGTTTAATGGAGATTTTGGAATTTAATAGTTGGCTTAGGGTCACGTGCCTTGACTCTATTTGAATAATGATTTTAAAATTAATTAAATATAATGTATTTTATTCTCCATGTTCATAAAAAAAAAAAAAAAAAAAAAAATGAGATTTTAGTATGATCTTGAGTGATGTTGGGTTAAACATAAAATTTGAAACCAGAAAATTTTGAGTGAGTCGTTTTCATAAGATATGATTCATAAATAGGAATGTTAAAAAGTATATAATCAATCAGTCTGATTCCACCATTGCATTGCATTGCATTGTTCAAATGGGCCACCTGACATTGGCATTTAAACCTTCCTTTTTACTTCTTTTTTGGTGGCTGCCTGGGGTTCGCCATCTATCCATGCTTCTCGCTGTTCTTACTCTTTTTCTGCTCTCATTTTAGTTGCATTCCCCATTTTTGTTTCAGGCACTGCTTGATGCTGCTGAGCTGAGGATCGGCCGAGCCCATAATGAGGATGAGCAGGTTTGATTTCAAGCCGCCATTAGAAGCAACGTGATAAGCAGAAGGTGAATGCAAACAATTACTTAAATCTCTTCGTCTGGAAGGGTTTTGGTATATACATTCGTTTTTCCTTGTAGTTTGAATCTTGCTTGGAACCCTAAAAGAGAACTGCCTGCCTTCACCACCATCCATTTTTGTATAACTTTCTTCCTTTTCCTTAGTTTGCAGAACGTTTGAAAGCAACAAATAGCTGGCGCCTCCTTTTGGGTATTCATGGAGTTTCCTTCAATAAAAGTTCTCTCCACCTTTTTTTTTTTTTTTGCAACACACCCATTTTCTCTGAGTATACACTGAAAGGTCTTCCATCCCTACTGCTAAAATTGACATCTTGTTCACAGGTAGAACCAGTGATTCTTCTTGAGTAACCTACTACCCTAGCTTTTCATGGGGGCTTTCCCCCTTCTTTTTTGGCTTTTTATTTCTTTTTTCCCTTCACTACGAACTTTAGTTGTTTGGTGGAATCCTTGTCAGTGAGTGAATGGTTGTAAAATAGCATCCCATTTTTTTTTCTGCTGCTTTACTCTGCAACTACTCTCATCCATCGTTTTCTTAACTCTCACCTTATTTATTTTAGTCTTCTGACTTCTTCTTCTTCTAACCCTCCTCCAATCTACTTGGAGTAACATCTTGTTGGGACATGCAAGTAACTGTCTCCAACATTCTTGTTGTTCCAATTTTTGTATTGTTGTTGTCTGTATGCTGATTAGCGGGCTCTGTTCTTGTAATTAAAACGCTCCAGTTTCTTGGGGATTCTTACTGTTTTATGTCATCCTTCCTTCAGATTTCTGTGTTCTTCAGTAGATGATTATATATAACGTATGCCTAAAGTCATCAACAGAGTGATTTGAACTCTGGAAAAGGTGTTTCTTTTAAGTGGGAAGGAAGCGAAGAGCTGAAATATTCTCTATGGACTGGAATTTGAAGACCCCATTTTGGGATTTTACTCAATTGGAACAAGATGTATTAAAGAACATCAATACAATAGGTGCATCCAGCAGCTTTGTTGAAGATAGAACGACTTCTGGGGATTTCTCGATTGATTTGAAACTGGGTCAAGTCAGTAATCTAGGAACAAAATATGCAGTCAATGAGCCAGGAGTGTTGAAAATGGAACCTTCCAAGAGGGCAAGAGGATCTGGGAATGGGGCTCAGCCTTTGTCATGCCTTGTTGATGGATGTGTTTCAGACCTTAACAACTATAGAGATTACCACAGGCGCCACAAGGTCTGCGAGCTCCATTCAAAGACTCCCCAGGTTACAATTGGTGGACGAAAACAAAGGTTCTGCCAGCAGTGTAGCAGGTACTCTTCAAATTTATTTGCTGCTTATTGGCTTTCTTATAGTGACCTTATTTGTCCTACACACTTTCAAGCATTCTGAATTCCATCTCCAGTGCCTTAGTTTCTCAATAACAGTTCAACACTATATAGATTCCATTCACTAGAAGAATTTGATGAAGGAAAGAGAAGCTGCAGGAAACGTCTCGATGGACACAATCGAAGGCGACGAAAGCCACAGTCGGACTCCCTATCACGAAGTATTTTGTCTCATTACCAAGGTTACCTCTAGCATTTGCCTAATAAACTTGAAGATTTTCCTATCACGATGCATTTGATATGGATCCATCTTTATGTTCTATAGAAATGCTCAATGGGGAAAAAGTTTCTTTTGTTATTGGTAAAGTATTAAATTCTTCCAGTTATATCATGCCGTATTCTCTGCTTTCAGGTTCCCAACTGCTACCATTTTCTTCCTCACATGTCTATCCATCTACAATTGTTATGAACCATTCCTGGCGTGGAATTTCCAATACTGAGATAGATCCAAGGCTTCATGTTCAGCAAGAGCCAACCCACTTCCCTGATAAACACAACATCTATCTCGGACCATCGTTGAACGATAGCATCCATAAAATTGAAAAGCAGGTTGCATTTCTGCAAAGTGACAGTCCGGGATCTTCGGTTGGCCTACCCTTTGTCAGGACCATTGATTTTTCAGAGAATGGAGGCAGTCGGAGCAAAATGTTCTATGACAGGTTTACAACTCCAAGTCCACGCCATGAATCGGATTGTGCTCTCTCTCTTCTGTCATCTTTGCAGACACAGTCATCCGAGATCGGTTTCAACCAAGCCGAGCAGGACTGTCATCTTATATCCTTCCTGCAGCCATTAGATGTGAGCTTAGGACATCACAACAGGTTGGAGACAGTTAGTTCAGTATTGAATGGCTGTGTGAGTAATGCTGATATGAATTGCTCAGGTATGTTTCACGTTGCATCGAATGATGGAGGGAATGAAGCTCCCCCACCATCCCTTCCCTTCCACTGGCAGTAAATTAACTTCATTACACACAACTCATCTTCTTATTTAACTGCCTGTCTGCTATGCTTGTGAAGCTTAACAATGGTACTTCTCTCATTTCATCTTTGGTTGCTTTATGGACTATTTTTCTTACATACTGTCTTTGTCTACTCAACTCCTTATTTTTGTGTCTCTGTCACCCTCAGGCATCAGTTTTTTTCTCTTTGAGCTCTTATTTTTGTTTGAATTCCAACTATAAATGGGGTAAAAAAAAAAGGCCTGCCATTTCCATTAGAACCAAGAAGAGAAAGCTATCTTTTCTTCTTCGTCGTGGGACCATGGGAAATGAAAAGGTAAACGTCTCAATGGTTCCATAATCATCTCAATCCTTCATGGGGCCATGGAAATCTTGTCTTGGTCCCTCCTAGAATTGGGTTTCGTTAAACGCTCTTTCCTTTTCTGGATTCCAATTGTTCATACATTTGCGTTAAAACAGGTGTTGATGTAATCACTTGTCTTTCTAAATGGATGTAACTTCTAGGATTGGAATGGAAGGAAAATTTATAGAGATCAATCATGTAAATCAACAATTACTGAAAGAAAAAGAAATTATAGCACTGATCTACTTCAGCTACAGAAAAAGAAATCAACACTTTGTAGTTCCTATTCGGCTCCACTTTTGAAGAAGCAGTGGCCTCTTCAGAGCATCCAGCAATGAAGCATGTGAAAAGATATCAACTCAGAGGCCCTGCATCTACTCTGTCATCTAAAAAGGCAATCAAGAAGAGGCATAGGTCTAGCAATACCCAAGGATCTGTTTAATGAAAGATTCAATGTAATAATAACAAGAACTAAGAGTATGGTTTCAGATCCATGTTGAAGGAGAAAATGAAAGATAAATTGCAATGCTGGTAAGAAGAAACAATTGAGACAATCGTCGATATTGGCACGGCTCAATCAAATTAAAAGACCCAATTCAAAGGAGATTTGATTTGATTGAACCGTTCCAACATCGCCACGATACTAGAAAGCAAACCATTGGTAGGATCTGTTTGTTTTCATCACAACCTGCAGAACTTGCTTTGCTCTCTCAGGATGGCATCTTGGAGGTAGAGGAAAAGAGGAACACCATGTCTAGACAGACAGAAGTGGTTAAATAAGAAGGAGATAGATAGAGAAATTTATAAGTGGAATGAGCATAAGAAACTAGAATGGTTGGGATGTCTATATCTTTCTTTCTTTCTCTTATTATTTTTTGTCTAAAGAAAAAGTTATCTATGATCAGGTCTTCCACGACTGTAGTTGGTTGGGGCTGATGACTTTGTCACAAGTGCCATGAGGCGGCCGGTTCCTCGGCATGCTGATTGCTGAATGCTTCCACTTTCATTTCTTACACGAAAAGACTTGACCCAAACAATCATATGTTGCCTTATATAGTGCTGTGGTGTGTGCGTGAGGCTCTTGGAATCAAGCTTCCTTCTCACCCCAATATACTATTTTGCTTCTCATCGGTGTTGCCTTCACGGTTAGAAAACACTTCAAAACCTGGTTTGAATTAAGTGCTTAAAAAAGGTATCAAACCCAATTTGAAAATACATTTGATATTAAGAAATGGAGATTAATACAACTTTCAACAACCAATATAGCAAGTCAATGACTAGAATATACACAAGCTTTCCATCGGATCTTTTTGGTGGGAATGTCATTTTCATGCATTGTTTATTAAAAGATCTGTCATTGACGTCTACCAAAACAAAAATCAACGTTCACATTGTTAGTGCTAAAACCTAATACTTTGTCGTATTTGCCTAATTTTATCTCAAAGTTCATCTTCTAAATTGAAGGGGGTTCCTGCTACAAGTGGAGCTTCAGAGAGCTACTCCGTGGATAACGTGACAAAATCCCATCAAACCAAGACACCATAGAAGAGATTCCGAGCATAAACTAATATAAGCAGAGAATGGGAAGAAGGAGAGTTCATCAGACATTACTTGAAACATTTACAGAGCCAAACCTCTTAATCAAGTTTGAATAATACCTGGGAAATGCGTCATTGGGAACAAACATATAGATGTGTTATATGTAAAACATACAACGGGAGATTACAAGTCATCGGTAGTTTTAACTACCCACAAGATATCCAGGTGATAAGATGAACATTAATCTTATAATCTAAGAAATCCATTTGATCCTAACTTGAAGCCAGCAAAATCAAACATGAAATGCTGAAAGTTGGCTTATCATTTGGAGAATTTTATTTTCCTCAACAAGAAAAATGTAAAGATGAGAAGACAGGCTGCATCATACGGTTATCCCCAAGGATTTCTTGAATTTCTCGACCTCCAAATATACTGTGGAGTAAGGAAGAAACTCTGAGAAATGTTCCTTGCTTAGGTCATTAATTGCAACAGCGAGTTTAGGAATTTCCAACGTCTCCTCGTGAGTCAAAGTTCGGACAAACCTTGCTGGGTTTCCTGCCCAAAGTTCACCACTGGGAATTCTCCTTCCTGGGGGAACCACAGACCCAGCTTCAAGAATGGAGTGGGTCTCAACTAGGGAACCTTCCATGAGGATGGAATGCTGCCCAATAATGCACTCCGGCTCGATTGTGCAGGATCGCAAAAGACTATATGCACCAATGGTGACGAATCTATCTATGGACGTCTCTGCTGGCAATCCTGGAACGACATATGAGGGAAAATTTAGACATAGCATGCACTAGAAAACATTAATATGTCACGAACTGAAAAGAGGACGCAAGCAGCATTACAAATTTAATTTATAGCCAGGTGATAATTATTTTTTCAAAACTGATAACTGACTGATTATTGATTACCGATTACTGATTATGGACCAAGACCAAGTAAACTTCAATTTAGATGACTTGAGCTTTTTTTTTTTTTTTTTTTTTTTTTTTTTTTTTTTTTTTTTTTTTTTTT